GGGTAAGGAAAAAAAATGTTTCAGGTATAAGGGTAGACATATCTGGAAATAAGAAATAAAAGGCTCAACATACACGGCTCAAATTGGCAATCTAATGATATCATTTTTCTTTGGGAAACATGGTTATTTGGGCCATGGTGGTAAACCTAATGTCTCTATCATTTCCAAGTTCATGCAATCAATGACAAACATTTCGAAAGATCGTTACGCAAGTTCTAGAGATGTATCTCACATAAGTTCATCACACATGAAAGAATAGGAGTGTATGAAAAATGCACACACTTTCAATAGGCTCAAAAACTCACATAGGATGTATATGGTCACTAAATTCACATATGAAGCTTTAAGTCATACTTTAGTTTCACATTAACAAGGCTATGTGCATTTGGTTTTTCAAAGATGATCAAACATGTACAATACTAACAAGAGAATTAGGAATTTCACAAAACACATGTTAACTAAGTTCTTGATGATCATGGTTCAAATTTGATCCAATTATATCATTGGGTCGGGAAACTAACAAAAATCTAATTCAGAACAATAAGGGGAACAAGACAATATTTTTGGATTTTTAAATTTTCCGAATTTTTAAATTTTTATTTTTTATTTTTTTTATAGAGAAAACAAAACTAAAAAATAAAAAGCAACAACACAGAAACAAATGAAACCACTTCGAAGTTGAAGGTACAAAAAAAATTTCAATTTGGTCATTTTTACCCTTTACCCCCATACTTAAACTGGACATTGTCCCCAATGTCAGAAAACACTATAATGCAAATAAAAATAAAATGAATAAATAATAAGAAACAAAATAAAGCAATTGGACTGAAAACTTCCCTAATTTGCAGTAAAATCAAGTGATGACCCCCAAGCTAAAATTCTGCAATCAACTTCAAGGGTGGAAATAACCAAAAGTTCCTGCAAAGAAAAGAAATAATTCAGTTAAGTAACGCAAGAAAATGTAAAAAAAATTGCAAACGAAAAAATTGAAAATCACGATAAAAGACAATGAAAAGAACTAATAAGTGATCATTGGTCGTGCTTGTTGACTTTCCACAGCTTTCCTCTTGAACTGGGTGACACTTAGCTTTTTACTTGCAAGTGATGATTTGATGATATTGTACGGCGGAGCTTTGCTCTTTGGCGATGTTGTTGAAGTTTCTTGAGTTCTTCAACTCAGATTCCTTCTGCTCTCGAGTTGATTGTGCAGGCTCAATTCCTTATTTGTTCTCCAAGCAGATGTGGCAGCTTCTCTAGTTCTTCATCTCAGACTCCTTCCGTTGGGATGATTGTGCAAGCTGCATTCTTCTCTGCTTGTTTCTTCTGCACGTTGTCTCCACATGCTGCTGGTATCATTTTCGCTTGCCTTATCTGTTCTTCGGATAGATGTGGCAGCTTCTTTGGAGTACATCAGCAGTGGAAGACGAGTACTCGAGAGCAATTTCTCCATGTCCTGCAGGTTAGAACAAAGACAAGGAAAAGGACATGGAGAATGCATGATATGAGATACTCTTGCTTTCAACCTTTATGATATGAAATACTTTTGCTTTGAATGGGTTGTTCGCAGGAGTATCCCAAGGAATGAGGAACACAGAGTGACTCGAGAGGATTCTTTGGGAATGCATTTTCGGAGATGAAGAAGTGTTGAGAGGGTGTGCTGAGAGAGTGTGCTTTTGTTGTGGAAGGCGAAGGTAGAAACTTATAGGACTTGTCTTCACAACCGGAACTGTTCTCTCACTCATTGTCGGTAGCCGGTGGATGGATGAATAGTACAAATTACGCGCTTTCTGACAAAGCTGCCCGTAATTTCCGCAAAGCTACCGGTTGCATGTGACGAGTGACGACACGTCTGGACAAAGTGATCTTTCGAAATCCGGGATTCGGCTCATGGTTGCTGAGCAAGCCCATTTTTTTGAGAAATGAAACGCTCTTTTTGAGAAAAGAATCCGGCTTTTAAGAAAGGAGCGTCCTCTTTTCAGAAAAGAATCCGGCTTTTGAGAAATGAGCCCCGACTCTTCGATTTGCGAGAGGACGCTTCATCGATTTCTGAGGAGCGCCTCTTTGATTTCTTCTTTTTATAGAGGCGTTAATTTTGTTCCACAACACACTTGAGTACCCTCCTGTAAACACTCCCTTCTTGCACTTGTTTAATCTTGATCATTCCGACTCTCTTCTTTCTTTACCACCTCTGAAAAATGTCTGGCCCTTCTGATCGTCGTCGTTTTGACTTGAACATTGGTGAAGAGGCAGCTCCGCCTTCACCAGACAACATATGGCGGCCATCCTTCATATCCCCTACCGGTCCCCTTACCGTGGGGGATTCGGTGATAAAAAATGATATGACAGCTGCGGTGGTGGCCCGAAACCTTGTCACTCCCAGAGATAACAGACTGCTCGCAAGGCGGTCTGATGAATTGGCGGTCAAGGAGTCTCTGGCTCTCAGTGTGCAGTGTGCGGGTTCCGTATCCAACATGGCCCAACGCCTATATGCCCGAACCCGTCACGTTGAATCCTTGGTGGCTGAAATACAGAGTCTCAAGCAAGAGATTAAAGGGCTCAAGCATGAGAATAAGGAATTGCACAAGCTCGCACACAGCTATGCCACCAGCATGAAGAGGAAGATTGACCAGATGCAGGACACCGATGGTCAAATTTTACTTGATCATCGGAGGTTTGTGGGTTTGTTCCAACAACATCTGCCTTCGTCTTCTGGAGCGGCACCGCGTAGTGAAGCTCCAACTGATCAACCTCTACCGCCTCCTCCTTCTGTAGCCCCGCCGACTGCTGAAGCCCCGCCTACTACTGAAGCACCACCCGACCAATGAATACTATTAGTTTACATCATTGTAAAATATTTGTACTTTTTTTTTTTTTTTTTTTTTTAAATTTTTTTTTTTTTTTTTTTTTTTAATATATGTAAATTAATGTAAAGAGACTTTGGTTAATCCTCCCCCACACTTAAACTAAATAACACAAACTCACAGAAATCAACCAAATAACACAACTAACTAAACAAAACAAAATGAAAACAGTAAAGATAAGGGTGGAAGAATGCAAAGCTGATTGGGTTAGTGATTCCAAAGTCTCCATTCGTTGAATGCTTGGGTTGCCTCCCAAGAAGCGCTTGATTTAACGTCTTTAGCCGGACGCATCTTTCCTTTAAATTTCCCTCGGCTCCATTTGAACCTAAAATCAAAGAAAGAAAAATAAATCAAATATCAAAAGTAAAATACACAAACACCAATATAAACATAAACAAAAACAAAAATAAAAGGATTAGCAAAGTTGCTAATCCCCGGCAACGGCGCCAAAATTTGATGCAAAATATATAAGCACACAAATTAAACCCTCTTTTTGACAATTGTAGTATAGATGTAAGTAGGGTATCGTTCTAGGCCGGGGATTAGGAGGGATTGCTAATCTATTCTAAATTAATTTAAAAATATTAAATAAGACTCAAGGACACAAAATTAGGCTAAAAACTCTAATAACTCGAAACACACTTAAAATGACTCAAAATAATGAAAACAATTAAATTAAACACTAGGAACTGAAATGGACGGAAATTAAATTAAAAGACTAACAATAAAGAAAACTAAATAAATAATATAATTTAATAATGGATGGGTGTTTGGTTTTGATGAAAAGTAAATTAAACTTAATTAAATTACAGAATTGACAAAAACATGAAATTAAGGTAAAATGATAAATGACGGACTAGCTAGAGGGTTCTTCTCCACACATGTTATACTTGCATACAAAATGATTTCCAGTTGCTTTTCGATAAGCTATTAATTCTCAATGCCCCAAGTTAATTAGGTACGCTTAAATTAACCCTCAGTTTTTCCACAAGTTATTGGGTTGGATGATTGCATACGACAACCCAAAACATTCCCTACAAGTTCCCTACATGAGTTGCATAATAGAGATACAAGCAAGAATCAATAAGTTCTATGAAAAACATAAGCATTGACGAGACACTCGTTACTATGATTTGCATAATGAAACTTATGCCAAGAATTTACTTAACGTGATTGTGACTAGCAACCTTCACTACTTATGAATATAAGTTCATAACGATTAGGTGAAATTCCCTTATATTCTAGCGTCAAATTCATGCATGAAAATTAAGCGTGCACTCTCAACCAACATACACAAATCAGTTTTTATACGAACGGATAAGTAAATTGAATTCACAACTTATAAATCACAACTGGATGTAATCAATTCATATTACAAATATAAATCATGGCTTTGAATTAACCTCTAGCCAAAATAAAATTAGTTACACATTATTAAAACAGAAATAAAATAAAAGTTTAGAGAGAGTAAACCGAAAGAAGGTGATCTGCTGCATCTGCCTGTCTTCCTCTCGCTGACAATTCCCTGGACTGCGTCAGTTGCTGCCAAAGGGCAGCTCCTGTTCTTCCCCGCGTCACCACCTCCTCGTGGACTCTGTCCCTCTCTTCTCTACATACCTGATCCTCTCTTGACAGCACCTTATCTTCTTTTTTTCGCCCCGCAGCTTCACGCTGCCCAAAGGGCAGCGCCCTCTCTCGGTCCTCCCAGACCCCCAAATCCTTGCGTCTCTGCGAGCTGCCCAAAGGCAGCCCCCTTCTCTCGCTCCCGAGGCCCCCTTCTTTTACGCTGTCTCCTTCCACTTCTTCTTTATTCTATTATTTCCTTCCATTCTTCACACTCCCCGTGCTTTTCCTTTCCAGCTACCAATCCCTTTAACCTGTCTTTCTTTTCTTTATTTTATTCCCTTTTTCTCACTATCCTCTTTCTGCTGACTCGCTCCTTCTTCTCTATTATATTATTTTCTTTCCTTTCTTCGCATCTCACTTCTTTCTCTCCCTGCACACATTTCCTTTTTCTGCTATTTTTTTATTCTTTTTTTTTTCTTTTCTTTATTCTTTCTACAAAACATAAATATGATGATGTTTCACAAAAATAACGTAAATAGCTTAAAAATATAAGGAACTAACTAAGAAAGACAGTGAATTCGAAGTAAAAATATATATAAATATGATCCGATCACTACTACATAGTTCACTTATCAACCTCCCCACTTAGGGACACAAAATATCTTGGGATTAAATCCCGTTATTATCACATCACATTAAAGTAGCTAGAAGTTTCACACAACAGTAATTAAACACATAAAAGTGCAGTGTTGGGCATTATCAAAAGTGTGATCATGCAATTATTACAATCAAGATAAAACTACAGTAAATGAACTATCGCCCTAAATCCAAAGGATGAAAACCTCACAGCCAAGCCCACTTGTCATCACCGGTGTTCTTCTTATTCTCGTTACGTCCTAAAGATGTCGACAGAACAAAATGTGAGTGGACCAGTTTTATCACTTCAAAATCATTCAAACATAATAACCCCTATTTTGAAAACATAGATAGTGAAAACTACATACATAGTAATACAAGAGTAATAGTAGTCTAGATCAACTCAATCTTGCACGTCATATCAAAGAAAGTAAATCAATCACAAATAAGTAATGTATAGCAAGCAAGTGAAGTGGCATCTACCTAATCAATATCTAGCGTCTACTAGCGAGTTCTAGCATCTCTAGAATATAATGTACCTGTAATAAATCCTGCAGTCATAGCTAGCTATACGATATGTATGATAACCATGTGGTGAAAGTAAATCACAAATGATCTCAAGATGTCATCTAATATTAATTTAAGTATAAGTGTAGTCAAAGACTAACATAAGTAATATGCATCCGCATATAAAAGCATATATATATATATATATATAACGTAAAAACGTTTGAGTTTTCGAAGGGGTCACTCATAGGTACGCAGGGCGCTCCTCGTCAAAAGGCTCCTTGCTTGATTTCTTTTTATCCTCTAATAAACCTGTGATAATCATATAAAGCTAAGTTAAGCTTTAATCGACAATTTATGAAAATCGTCCAAAACTACCATTTTAAGTAATGAATTTGCTCGAACAGGGCGCCATGTGATTCAGAGCATTGAAAAACGTAAACATTGGTCACGGGTCCTGCACACACCTCCACACATGCCGCGTGCTCCGGCCACGTGCCACCACGCGTTGCCGTAGTGGTGTCACGTGCCAAAAAACACGCACCATTGTGAGCCACCGTTGTCAGTGAACGCATTTTCGTACTTGCCGTCGCGGTTCAACAAGTAGATGTCACACTCGTCGTTGCCGAAGCCACGTTTTGGTGCGGTGAGGTTCAACAAAGATAACGGAATATACCTGATGAGGAAAGATATGCAGTTAAAGTTAACGGCACCGTCACTGTAGCCGTCAAAACGGCGGTCGCCGGAATCTGCAGAAAAGTACAGAGACGATCAGGCCTTCCTCAAGCTCCAAATTTACAGATTTTTAATTCCAAATTGATCCCAGAGATCAAGAGACTCACCTAAAACTAGTTTAGAAGGATGAGAGATTGAATCCACCTCGGATTCAACAGTTTTTGCTCAAAAAACCTCGTCGGAAACTGCAGAAAGTGACAGAGAGTTAGCATGCATCCAAATAGAGGCCAACACCACATTAAACTCGAGGAAAATCCCACAAAAATGACTCAAAACTTATCCATACCACATGTAGCAGGATTGGGGGGGAATCAAGGCTCGAACTCGCTGGAGTTCGTCCTCCTTCTCTTGCCGAAAACTAGAAATAGAGATAAGGGTGCATGCAGGTGTTAGAACTTGAACACATAGCTCAAAAGCCTCATCCAAACATCCCAGATGCAAGAGAGAGAGAATGTATGGATCACCAACACCAGCCGACTTCAAACTCAACGACATTTTCCGGAATTTGTCGTTAAGGCTGGATTCGTATGCAAAAAAGTTGCAGAGGTTGAAACCCTCGAGTTTCAACATAAAATTAACATCACAGAGTGAAAAATGATAAGGTTAAACACAGAAATTCAAAGGGTAAATAGAGACCATACCTGGGTTTGAGTTTGAGAGCTTCAAGCTCTCGGCTTTAATGGTGTCGAGGTCCACACTGCACCGATCTCACATACAAGACCACCATTGTGATCCTTGCATCCCACAGACTTCGAATATGTAGAGCTTTAGGTTGATTTGTGAAGGTAATGGGAGAGTGGGAGCTCCCTTCTCTCGGTGTTTTAGGGAGAGAGTGAATTCAAGAGAGAAAGATAGTGGGCCGGACGTGGGATAAATCCTACTTAACCTAACTTAAGTGAATTACCAAAATTACCCTCCACTAATTGTAAAATTACAATTAGGCCCTCGTACTTTCGATTTGAGATTCAATTATCGACGTTGTGTTAACGTACCAAAATTCATGAAACTTTAGAAAGTATGAGAATTGAATTCTCGAGTCGAGATTCGATAAATAATTAGAACATCGATTTAGAGCCAAAATGATCATTTTACAGGTTTAAAGAATAAAATACAATATTTTAAGAAACGGTTTGTAACAATAGTCACTCTGTTCTCTCCTCAAACGAACCCAATCCAAATCTTGCGGCACTTTTTCCTGTCGAAGGCCACAATCCCCTCCTCTCTCTTTCTATCGTTCACCTCTGACCTCTCCTCTTTCTCTTGCGATTAAAAATAAAAAACAAAAAAGTGATATCCAACAACAAACCCCCACATCCCTGTGTTCCATTTCCGGTTAACCACCCAATCACCAATGGTGCCTCTATGACGCCAACGACCATCCCTCCATGACCACCATCTCTCTTCTTTTTATCTCTCCTGCATGGCTATGCTCTCTTATCTCCAGGTGGAAACTTGTCGGGCCCAACCGATCGAAAAAGAGAGGTCGGTGAGGAGGGTGAGTTGAAGGCGGAGCAAAAAGGACAATCAGTAATTTTCCCTTTTTTCGATGGGGACAAAATCGTTGCTCGCCTATTTGTAATTAAACAATTTTATCTCTACACCCAATTTTTATTTATGTCACATTTGAAATGTAACATTTATCAAATGGATAATGTTAGGGAAATAAAATTTTATATCAAATTTGAAAACCAAATAATGTGTCACTAATAGAAAATAAACATGTTAATCAAGACTTAAGTAATAATCTAATAGTGGTATTAGACACATCTCATTGTCCTATTTCTACGCCCACATTATAATTATACCCACCATAAAAAATAAAAATATTATTTCTCCACCCACCATTATTCATAAAATAACCTCTAATATAAATTTCTTTTACCAACAGGATCCTCTTTGGATCCCTTCGGTGATGATCCTAGGGATCTGTGAATCGTGTCCGTTCATCATACATCGTGCGGTTAGTTTTTGTCAGCTATTATTTGTGTTCAATTTTAAATAAAAATATTTAAAATGATTTCTGACTGCACGATATATGATTCACGGACACGACCCTGAGATCCTCGCAAAGAGGATCCGGATTCTTTCTATTAATTTTTCAAAGGATATTGTTAATATGTTAAAAAAAAAAAAAAAAAAAAAAAACCATCATCGTTCCTTAATTACAACACAGCACCTGCATTACCCTAGCCGCACCAACACCTCCACCCACCCTTATCAAAAACCAAAACCCTTGACACTTGCTTGGCGGCATCTCCTTCGGAAAGAGAGAGAAACGAGAGGGGGTGGAAGAGAGAAGCACGAGGATGAAGAGAGAGAAATGGGAGGGGGGAAGAGAGAGAAGCATGGGGAAAGAAGATCCAATACAGGGGAAGATTGCTCCAAATCGTTTATTCCAAGTGGGAGTTGGTATTTATTCGATTTGAAAATCTGGGTTGTCGTCGTCCTTTTCCATGACTGCCTCCTTTGTTGCATCTCCATTCCACACGTGATTGGTGGTCATCGTTGTTTGTCTTTATGGAAGAGGAACAAAGGGTGAAGGTGGTAGTACCAGAATTTAAAGGGAGAGTGAGGTGGTGATTGTCGCTGGAGAAGGGTGATGGATGACTGGGGACTTGATAGTCATCGGCCCATCATGGATGATTTGGGAGGGTGATGGATTTTATTTTTATTTTTGTTAGTTTTAGTGTTTCTTTATTCTATTTTAGTTTATTTAGTTAAAATCATAATGAATTTATACATATGGATTTAAAAGTATTTTACTAAAAAATAAATATGTGAGTAACATTTTTATTAAGGTGGGTGAAAAAATAAGACAAATTTTAGTACCAGGTAATGCTAGGAAGACTAAATTTGTAAACTAAATTTTAAAAACTAAACGACATGGAAGTTAATGATTTGGTTTATTATTTACACATTGATAACGTAGGGGTAGGTTCGAAAAACCGAAAACCGAAAAAAAACAGACCCAACATCGAACCAAAACCGAAAAAAATCAAACCGAAAAAGAAAAAACTAAACCGAACTGAGCCTTATTGGTTCGGTTTTGGTTTCGGGGTTTGAAAAGCGAATGAAACCGAACCGAACCAAATCCCTTTACACTTTATTAATGTATACCCATGATGTCTCTCTTTTGTGAAACTTTGTTGCCAAGTTTGAAACTAAGCCTAAGGCTTTTTCAAGGAGCATACTTGATTCAAATAGGGAGGATATTTCATTGGTTATAGAGGAAAGTTTTGGAAGGCTTCGGAACTTGGAAGAGCTTCTCTATTTGTTTACTTATTGAATGGATGCAGTGATCATTTTTCTTTGCAATTGATGTTGTTGATAGAGTAGGATTGATTTATATGATCTTGTATATGTACAACTACCTTCCCACTTTCCACTTTCCCCATTTTCTTATGGGTTTTTATCACAATGGTTCTTGAGATTGACCAAACTCATCATTTTGGTCCCTCACTTTCAAAATCAATCAATGTCGTCCCTAACATTCACTACCTCACATCAATTTGGTCATTCCGTTAAGATTTCGTCAACTATTATGTTAGTTTTTATGTAGGACTCACAAATCCAATCAAATGGTGACACGTGAATTACACGAAAGAAGGCTTTTTATCGCAAATGGTCCCTGACATTGATACAACTCCTCATTTTGGTCATTGATTTCAAAAATCGATAAATTTGGTCCCTAACTTTCACTATTGCACATTAATTTATTCCCTCTGTTAATGTGGTCTTACTAATCCAATTATATGGCTCAACGTGGATTAACTATAAGAAACTATTTTTCTAAGAGTGAACCAAAAGAAGAGTATTCCACATTGGCATTTTTCTGGCATCCCACAACCCCAAATGGAAAGAAAAAAAATCAAAAAAAATTTGATAAAATTGAATCCAAATTCAATTCAAATTTGATAAGATTTAGGATTATAACCAACTAGAAAGAATGAGGAGTGAGTTTAGGACGCCAAGTACTTTAGTGGTGTCATGGTGCCTTCCTTTTCCTTTTGAGCATATCCTGATGAAGACAACAATGACTTTTTTCTATTCTTTTAGTTTTCGTTTTTAGTTTCTTGTTTTACGTTTAGTTTTAAATCTTAAAAAGAAAAAAAAAGTTTCTTATACATGTGGTGCCATATGATTGGACAGTGGGACAAAAAATATTGACGAAACTTTAACGGAAGGATTAAATTGATGTGCAATATTGAAAGTCAGGGACCAAATTTATCGATTTTTAAAACTCAAGGACCAATGTATCGATGTTAGGGACCATTTGCGATAAAAACCCTTATTTTGTGTAATCCACATGCCAGAATTTCATTGGATTTGTGGGTCTCACATACAAACTAACAGAATAGTTGACGAAATCTTAACGAAAGGTTCAAATTAATGTGCGGTAGTGCATGTTAGGGATAACATTGATTGATTTTGAAAGTGAATGACCAAAACAATGAGTTTGATCAATCTCAGGGACCATTGTGATAAAACCCATTTCTTATTATTAGTCTACTAATGCAAGCCTCTTTTCTAAATTCCATATTAAAAGAAGATCAAGTTTTATAATAATAAATTAAAAAAAAAACTGAAACCGTAACAAAACCTAACCAAACAAAACCAAACTGATAAAAAAAAATTGAATCGAAAAAATAGAAATAAAATTGAACTGAACCGAAAATTTAGTCTTCCTAGCATTACCCTTTTAGTACCACCCTAATTGGATCATCAACAACTACATCATTTAGTTTGCAAATTTGATCTCCTCAGCATTATCTTTATCAAAAAAGTGATGAGGGTAGACAGAAGACAACTCGGTTCAAATAAAAAGTCCTAAAAAAATAAAGATGTGTTATTGGCATTCCAAAAATCTCATTCTACACTCCTCACAATTGTATTTTTCTTTCCTAATATAAAAAGTTTAAAGTGTAAAATGAAAATTTTGAAGTGCTAATAACAATTTCCAAAAAATAGAGAAGTAAATCTTGCTCACCTGGTCAGCAATATAGAAGGCCCATCAATATTCCAAGCCCACTAAACCTCCCAGATACCGCCTCTGAGTTTAGTGAAATCTCTATAAAATTAAACCCAACCCCCCCAAAACAAATTTTTATCATCGAAATCCCTCGCCTTCCTTCCCTCCCTTCGTTTTCCCAAATCTCCTTGCCCATTTGAATTTTGATGCCAATTTTGCTATTTGGTCTTACCAGAACTTTACCAAATATCATTTTTTTCCTTTCAAAAATTCATAAATTCCCTCCATATCCCAAACCTTCTCCCTCGCCTTACTTCTCCTTACTCCTCTAGGGTTTGCGATGTTTCCCTCAATCTGAATCCGAACTTGCAATTTTGCTTCTGATTCGTGTTCCGGAGTCTTCGATTCGCTGCAAGACTCCGTGAATTGCGTTTCTTTCACTTCAATTTTGACTATCTCTCGCTGCTCTGCGGTCTGAATTTTTCTAGGGTTTCTGAGTGTGAGCTCGATTTTACTTTCCCCCTTTATATGTTTCTGTTTGACTCTCGAGAAAAGGAGGGAAAAGGAGGGAAAATTCGTGGGTTCTTGCGGGAATGCGCTCACGGGTCGATTAATATGAGAGTTGAAGAAAAAGCTGAGTGATATGAGGGTTTGAATATGAGCCATGGAGATGCGGGCAGTAGCAGCAGAGTGAATCAACCAAGTAGCGATGCGCCGAGGAGAACAGGATGTGGAGGAGGAGCTGATGAGTTTGGCCGGGCCTTGTCGACAGTTGCGGTGGCGCAGATATGCGAGAGCGTTGGGTTTCAGAGCTTCAAGGAGTCTGCTTTGGATGCCCTTGCCGACATTGCCATCAGACACCTCCGTGACCTAGGGAAGATGTCGAGTTTTTACGCCAACATGGCAGGTAGAACCGAATCCAATGTGTTTGATATTATTAGGGCGTTGGAGGATTTGGAGTCGTCGCAAGGGTTTTTGGGTGCTGCCGAGGTGGGACATTGTCTTGCAGAGTCCGGGATTGTAAGAGGCATTGTTGAGTATGTGGGTTCGGCTGAAGAGATCCCGTTTGCACAGCCATTGCCTTGGTTTCCTGTGATCAAACAACGGAAATTGATCCCAAATTTCGAGCAGATTGGGGAGGCTCCGCCAAGTAAGCATTTGCCCAATTGGTTGCCGGCTTTCCCTGATCCACATACTTACATCCAAACACCAACGTGGAATGAGAGGAAGACCGATCCTCGAGAAGATAAGATCGAGCTGGCTAGGCAGAGGAGGAAGGCTGAGAGGTCTCTGTTGAGTCTGCAGCAGAGGTTATTGTGCAATGGTGAGGCTTCTGGTTCAGGAGAAGCCTTTGCAGCAGTGGCATTGAGGGGCAGCAGCGGTGGCGGTAATGATGGAAAGGGATTGTTATTATTACAGGGGAACGAGAGTGATCAAAGTAATCCATTCCTTGAACCGCCAATCCAGCCGGGGGAGAAAGATGTATCAGTATCCCAAGTAGTTTTGCCATCCAGGTTTTCAGACGAAGTGGCAAAAGGGAACAATGCGGGTTCTTCCCTTTTGGATGCGTTTGCGCCTGCCATTGAAGCTGTGAAAAGTGGGGCGTGGATGGATGGAGACGATGAGAGGAGACAGCTTCTTCCCGAAACCAGGCCGTCAGTGAATTTCAAGTTCAGAAGCGGGAAGAAGTTTTTGGGGCAACCGTCGGATCTGAGCCAGCAACAGAAGGGTGCCGGAAGACAGGCATATTGGTTCGGGCGAGACGAGGAGAGGGATGACAAGAAGAGGAGAGCAGAGTTTATTCTTAGACAGTCGATGGAAAACCCACAGGAACTCACTCAGTTGTAGATTAATTTGATTGACTGGTTTTCTAGGGATTTTAGGAGTGGTATTTTTATGTCCTTTGTTGTTCTACAAGTAGAATCTAGTTAGAGGTAATGTGAATGATTCTTTCAATTTCCACGCTTTCTTGTGAACCAATTTTTCTAGGATTAAGTTGTTTTTTTCGGGTATTATTTTTTCCCCACCATCTGAGATTTGTATTGACACATTGAATTCGAATGTTGAGTTGATCGGAGCAAATTATGTGCTCCTCCTTGTCTTCAATTCCTTTCGACTGGATCCGTTTATACTTTTTTGGGTAGTAATTTAAAGCAAAGAAGAGAAAATGGTTTTCGCACGTCTCTTTTCTCACCATGCAAGTACAAAATATATGGAGGTGAGGAGGAGAAAAGAGATGTACGAAAATTACTTCCCAACAGAAAATGTACTTCCTTAAGAGTGGGAGGCAGTGATCACGTGCTGCTTTCTTAAATTGGAAATTCAAAAGCTTGATTTAAGACCAAACGATAAGAACATGATCATTTTATCTTTTACAAAATATTTAACGATTAAAAACTTTACAACATAAGGTACTCCAGAACACCATAAAAATCCCGAGAGAATCAGTTCACAACGTGGGTAAGTAATGTCGTTGAACTCTTCAATTTGACAAGCAGGCATATAGTTATATCGAAAGCTAAATCGTCTCCAAGTTTAAATTACTTTCAATGACTAGGCCAAGGCAACAATAAAGTCAGCAGGCATCTGTCTTTGGTAAGGGGATACACAGTGAAGAGAAAATACAAAAAACATAATCCAAGACAACTAGAACATGCATGGAAACATATGCAGAAACAGTGCTGATCTGCCGAATGCTGCCATTCTACCCTAAAGGCCAAGAAAGAAACTGAAATCGTCAGAGCATTGGTCGAATACATCCCACCCCAAGTTTGCTTGATTGAAAATACCTCAGTGTTTGAACTTCAAATCCAACTCCACGGGAAACACTCTGGCACGATGGTTGAAGATCATAAAGTCAAGGTTGTCTGGTAGAGAAACAATCCTGCACTCCAAAATAAACGGATGTTAATGATCCAATCAAACATCTTGCATACAGCATTTCCAAAGTCAAATTAGCTATTATTCCACAATTGTTAATTTCCAGTACAGAGACCATCGAATAAAAAGCAACTGAGATATTTCATTAACACAGTTTTCTCTTGCAAAGTTTATGCCTAAAAAGAGCAAACATAGCTGGTTCTTATCTTATCAATAATCCCCACTACAATGAGACATACAAATTCAGCTCTTAGCCTATGTTGGGTTTATTGATAATGGAGAAAGCAAAGAACTAAAGTCTTTGTGCTCGTTTGGTTTCTAGGATTGAATTGGATTGGATAACTTGCTAGATTCAACATGAGTTGAATGAAGAAATGGATGTCAACCTCCAAATCTTGTCCAAGTTGAAGATGGAAAATAATTCTCTGGACAAAATTTGGAGTTGGCATCCATTTATTCATTCAACACACACTGAATTCAGTGATTTATGCAATCCAATCAAATCCTTAACACCAAACAAGGCCCTTATCTTTCCATTATCCTATTATTAGTGAAAATAGAAAGAAAAAGGAAGTAAGTTCAGGGTTTTCTTCTCAAACTCTCTCCTTCCAATTTTGTCAGGATTTGGTAAAGTTCCCAAAGTATTATCTTCTCAAGGGAATATTAAAAGTTCCCGTTTGTACGTTCTCTACTTTCTCAATCTTACCATGAACCAAACATGAATTTTGAAATTGTTGCCATCTTCTTTCCATCCAGTCCTTGCCAACTCACAGATTCTCAAACTCGAGATTATAATTAAAAGGTATTGTATGCAAAGTGCATAAGCATAACACAATGTCTACAGTTTACTTCAACTTTCAATTGCAGGTATCGAAAATAGTCCAATCACACCCTGAACTCAAACCCAAGTCAGGTATTGAACAGAATAAAACACGTATACGTACCTGTTCTCTTCAGAATAGGGATGAATCGAAAGAAACGTGCCCGGGACAGTAAGTGCCGCCCACATACAGAACGCTAACCCTAGAAGCAATTCAGCCACCACCTGCATTCCCAATAAACCCTTTTAGACAAGCTAAACCACAATCAACCCAATTTTATGAATTTGTATTTGTTAAATCTCACAGTTAATGGAGGTCCTGAAAACTGTTCCTCCATAATCTTCAACAATCCCCTGTCTGCAATCAAATCAAATCAAATCAACCAACCTAAAAAACAATCCAATTTCAATCACACAACTAAACCCCATATTCCTTTTACTCTCTAATGCAAATTGATATATATATATATATATATATATATATGTACAGATATAGATATAGAGACGATTAGGGCTTACATTGAACGGTTGAATAAGCAGCGTGAGAGAGAATTACAACTCCCAAGATGCCAACAACGAAGCCCAAACTCATCGCCATTCTAGCTCCGATCTCCGGCAAGTTAGAACTCCGGTATTGGCCTAAACGACGTCGTTAGCGATGCAAGAACGAATCGGCGTTTGGCTCTTCTCCAGTAAACTCTGAGAGGGCTTCTTGTCCTTCTTTGCTTCGTTTTGTAGAAGATGCGAATTAAAACTTGGAAATACATGTCGTTTATATGTATTGCGACACCATCACAATAAACGACACGTCGTTTCATCTTCTCCATGTTAAAGTTAAAACGGGCACAGCCGGTGAGGCTTCGGAGCAGAAACATGGTTCAACTTCATGCAACTTTCTCTTTCAGAAACTCTCCCAAATTCTCAGGTTCTTCTCCCAAACGTCCCCGTTTCTCTCCCACATCCTCAGGCCTCTCTCCGAAACGTCACCGTTTCGGTGTCAAATATCTCAGAGCAAATCTCCTTGGCACTAATTTAACATTTAATTGCAAGGTAAGTTATTCTAACACTCTAATCCACCAGCTAAATTTCGCTTCTTTTTTTCTTTTATGTGATTATTTTTCAATTTTTTCCATTTTTTCAATTGGGGTTTTTGTGTTTAGGCCAATGGAGGAGAATTGGATCCCCTGCCTCACTTGCAGACTCTCGGAACATTTCCAAGGGAGGAGCTTGCTGCAAAAGTTGTCCTGGTCAGATTTGACTCTGCCCTTTTGCTTCATGAACATGTGGAACAACACAGATTCCAATCCGATGCGGTATTAACGATTAAGTATTTATGCCAATCCGGGGCTAGAGTAGTTCTTGCTAGTGATTGGAGTGTTAAAACTAATCCTAAACTGTGTGTTGCACAGTCTGTTGCAGGTATAAAATGCTTCTTGGTAATGTTAGTTTTAGTTTATAACTGTAATTTAGACGATTATGATGTTCTATGATAGCGAACGTTGTGTTGTTTGAGCTGTGTGACAATTCAGCATTTTGATAGTTTGTTTATTGCTTGTTGGTTTCCATAAATCAGATTTCTTGTCATCTCTTGTTGACTACAAAGTTGCTCCGGTGCAATGTATTTCTAACCTGGCATCAAAGGTGGAAGGTTTTGAGAAAGGAGATATTGTTCTTCTTGAGAATCTTTCTGAGTTTAGAGGGGAAGTTGCCAATTGTTCAAAATTTGCTCAAGTATTGTCATCAGGAGTTGATATTTTTGTTAATGACTACTTTTCCCGGTCTCATAAGATGCTTGCATCCACCTGTGGAGTTGCTCGCTTCTGCTATGGCAACTTAGCTGGTTTTCACTTTGAGAAGAGCCTATCTCAACTTAGAAGGGCTGCAGAAACCGACACAAAACCTTATGTAGCAATTGTATGCCCTTGCTGCTATTATATTTTTATTTGGCTCCACTTAAAATTTGACTTATGAACTCTAACTTTGTTATCTTTGGATATGCAGATTGGTGGGGGTAATCTCTCTGATAAAGCAGCTGCTTTGCACTCCTTAGCTTCAATATGCGATGGGTTAGTCTTTGTTGGAATGATGTCATTTCAAATAATTCACGCCTTAGGGATATCTGTTCCCTTGAATTTCTTGGAACATGGGGCACTTAAGGAAGCTTTAGATATAGTCCAGGTTGCACACGATAGAAATGTACAGATACTATATCCAAAAGACTTTTGGTGCAAGAATGATTCTCTTCCGAAGCAATTGGAAATATTTCCTGCTCATGGTATTCCAGATGGTGAGACTGCATTTGATTGACCAAAAATATGATGCCTTTTGACTCCCTTCCTTTCCACGAATGATTAGAACATGTAGCCATGTATGAATTGACTTCTTCTTTTGACTGCTTTTGCTGATCACAATATCATTGAAACTGCGCAATCTAAGTCTCATGTGATAGTAACTTGTGAAATTGGGTTTTAATCCAAGTTATTTTCCCCTATTTTAGGATGGGTACCTATTGATATTGGGCCTGTATCGTTGGTTGAAATAAACTCCATGCTTACAAAGTGCAAGGTAAATCAAAAGACTTTCAAAGTACTATTATAAGGAAGAGGAAGTGTTTTTTGGTTTCGAAATGCCAATTTAATTAAGTTTTGAGGTGACAGTATCAATTTGTTAACTATTTCTCTTTGTATTTAGACAATGCTTCGTTTTATTGATAGATTTCAGTGTGCATAAGAGTTTGCTCAGGTACTTTATCTAAGCATGACATCTAGCAAGCTTAATATAGCCCTGGAGACGGTTTTTTCACTTTCAACTCCGGTGTTGGGCTCCATATTCATTATTCTGTTCTTTTGCACCCTTATGGTTGTTTACTTTTCAGCATTGAAAACTGAAAATTTTAAATTTTATTGCAAAAGTTTCAAAGTTAAATTCCATCTTGATGTCATCTCTATTTTCTTTCTTGACGGAATTATGTTCTCTTTTGTGTTAAGTGTTCAAGCACTCATTGTTTCTGGCCTTGTCATGGACTCATTATCAGGCATCCCTCATTTGAATTGCAGAAAGTCACTTGGATTGGTCCAGTAAAATTCTGTATGAGTAACTGCACAAAAGGAGCTTCTATACTGGCCCAAATGCTTAATCAACTAAGTCAAAGCAACTGCAGCGTAACTGTTGTTGGGAGTATGGCATGCGAAGCAATGGTGAAGGAATCAAATTCTGTCTCTCATTTGACCATGATTGAGAATGCTTCAGTTGTATGGGAGTTTCTCAAGGGAAGAAAACTTCCGGGGGTCATGGCCTTAGATAGGGTATGTTTCATGCTCTTCTTTCATAAAAATTCACCACTTTAACCAGAAGCTTGAAAAAAATTGATTCAGAATTATCGAATGAGACAAAACTAAATGTCTTGTATTGTAACCCATCATGGTTGGAAAGACCATCTAGTATCTGGTGGCCACGTCAATATTGGTATATATTTTGCATGTGTGTTAATCAGAAAATGAACCCCTTCTTGTAATGACTGTCCCGAACCACTGTAATATATGAAAGTACATGAGCTGCAATTCTTTGGGAATCTAGCCTCATATCTCATGATGGTGGTAGTAGTTCCTACCACAAGGGCCATTAACTCAAAACACTTTGTTTAAATTTATTTATGGGTAAAATGTGAATTGATGCATCAACCTGACTTCACTCTCAGTGATGTAGAACTGCGGTAGTATTAGGGTGAACAAGGGTGTGACGGGACCGAGAAGAAGTAAAAGATCAAGGAGACGAATTAGGGGTCGAGGAGACGAAGGGAAAGGGGAAGAAATCAGGGAGTTCTAGTAAGGAGAGTTTTTCATTCATCAAAAATTAAATTAAAAGATTACAATCTGCTCTATTTATAGAGACAAACTTTGAAAAATTAGGAAAGCAATTTAACTAATAAGAAATCCTTTAACAACGGGGAATTCTTAACTAAAATAGGAAAACTAATAAAAGGAAAGCTAATCCAAGTAGAATTAGGAGATGCATTCTGCATCATTCTCCCCTACTGAAAAGAACTCGACACAGGCGAGTAAGCCAATATTAAGGACAACGACGACGTTTGTAAGTATGGATGATAGGAGGACGGGATGCTGCCAAATCAAGATCCTGAAGAGCATCCTGATAATGGTGCAAAAGACTGGAATCCAACTCGCGAAATTCAGCTTCTGTAATCCAAGTATCCTCAGTAGCAGGCTTTCCCACCCAACGAACCAGATAACGGGTCGATCCTCCAGTAGACGAAGTCACAACTTCATGATCCAAAACGTCAGCAATCTGCTCTGTAGGGGCAGAAATAGTGGACGGAAGTCGTGGTGCCATAGGAGGAATGGAACTCTGAGCAACATCCATCGACAGAGGTGGAGAAAAGGTTCCCCGATAAGGAGATAAGTCAGAGACATTAAAAATGGGACTGATCTGCATCGTGGCAGGTAACTCAATCAAGTAAGCATTGGACCCAAGCTTCCTAAGGACACGATAAGGACCCATCGAACGAGCATGAAGCTTTTTAAAAGATTGCTTAGGAAAACGCTCAGGACAGATCCGCACCATAACAAAATCCCCGTGCTGAAACTCCTGGTGACGACGATGAGCATTGGCGGCCAGTTGATAACTGTCGGTGTGCATGGCTATTTGCCGACGGACGTCATCATGCAGTTGTCTAATATGTTCAGCAAACGACGTAGCAGAGTCGGAGGCGCGCGGGCAGCCATAGGAAGAGCAACTAGATCCACAGGTGATCGGGGAGAAAACCCGTGAACAACCTCAAAAGGACTTTTACCGGTGCTTCGATTAACTGAGTTGTTGAGTTGTTATAAGCAAACTCAGCCACAGGCAACAAGAGATCCCAATCCCAATTACCAGGCTTATCCCCAACTAAACAGCGAAGTAAATTTCCAAGACTGCGATTAACCACCTCCGTTTGTCCATCCGTTTGGGGATGGAAAAGCGGAGGAAAACTTCAAAGTAGTCCCGAAAAGCTTCCACAAAGTTTTCCAAAAAAATAACTAACAAATTTGACATCACGATCAGAAACAATAGAGACAGGGAGGCCATGCAAACGAACTACTTCCTGAAAAAATAATTTGGCCACATGAGAAGCATCGGTATTTTTGGCACAAGGTAGAAAATGCGCCATTTTAGAAAAGCGATCAACTACGACAAAGATGAGTCATGGCCGCGACTAGTCTTAGGTAAACCAAGCACAAAATCCATACTAATATCCTTCCAAGGAGCATGAGGGATTGGTAGAGGGGTATACAGACCTGTGTTACGTTTGCGAGCTTTAGCTAGCTGGCATGTGCGGCATTGGGAGAGGAGCCGAGCAACATCACGTTTTAACGACGGCCAATAGAAACGGTCTTCCATCAAGGCAATGGTTTTATCTTTACCAAAATGTCCAGCCAAACCACCACCATGTAGTTCCCAAATAAGGAATTCACGAAGAGAAGTACGAGGAATGCATAATTGGGTTTTCCGAAACAAGAACCCATCCCTTGTAATAAAGTCCACATACTCACGACGGTTACCGTTGGAAACTTCATGGAAAATAATTCCAAAATCTGGACACGACGAATACTCGGCCTTAATACGATCAAACCCAGTGACCTCAACTGTCATTGTGTGCAAAATAGTAGCCACGCGACTAAGGGCATCAGCTGCCTTATTGTCAATGCCTGGACGGTGTCGTAAAACAAACGTAAAGATCTGTAGATATTCGGACCACTTGACATGTGTCGACTGCTGATGGTGCGTTGAGAGTGGAGATATTTCAAAGCTTGATGATCGGAATATAGCACAAATTCGTTTGGCAATAGGTAATATTGCCAATACCGAAGGGCCTGTACCACAGCATAAAACTCCTTGTCATATAAGTAGAATAACGTTGCTTTGCTGCATTAAGTTTCTCACTAAAGTAGGCTACTGGATGTCCTTCTTGGCTAAGCACGCCACCAATTCCGACTCCGGAAGCGTCGCATGCCACTTCAAAGACTTTAGTCAAATCAGGATGTCGAAGAACAGGTGCTTGACTCATCTTTTGCTTCAAAATTGTAAAGGCCGTGGCAGCTGCAGGGGTCCAAAGAAACGCTCCTTGTTTCATGCAATCAGTTATTGGTGCCATAATAGTACTGAACCCGGGAATAAATCGGCGATAAAAAAGAGGCGAGACCATGAAAGCTGCGTGCCTCTGTTAATGTCGTAGGTGTTGGCCAACGAGTAATAGCCTCCACTTTAGTGGGATCGGTGCTAACCCCAGCTGCAGAAATATTGAACCCCAAAAATAGAACTTGCGGTTGAAGAAACGAACATTTGGGTAAGTTAGCATACAGTTTTTCCGCTCGTAATGTAAAGAAGAGCGAGTGAAGATGTTTGAGATGTTCTTCTCGAGAGTGGCTGTATACAAGGATGTCATCAAAATAAACCACCAGAAATTTGCCAATATAGGGCCGTAACACATGAGTCATCACCCTCATAAACGTGCTAGGTGCATTGGACATGCCAAAGGGCATAACAAGCCACTCATATAAACCATCAGGGGTTTTAAACGCGGTTTTCCACTCATCTCCTTCACGAATTCGGATTTGATGGTAACCACTGCGAAGATCTATCTTAGAAAACCATTGGGAACCAGCCAAATCATCCAACATATCCTCTCAAGTCGCGGTATTGGGAAACGATACTTAACTGTAATTTTATTTATGGCGCGACTATCCACACACATTCGCCAGGAGCCATCTTTTTTTGGTGTAAGGAGAACTGGAACAGCACAAGGACTTAAACTATGACGAATAAAACCCTTAGCCAGCAACCCCTGGATTTGTCGATTTAATTCCGCTCGCTCAGGTGGGTTCATACGATAATGGGGAAGGTTAGGAAGTTGTGAACCAGGAACAAGGTCGATGGCATGCTGAATCTCTCGTGCTGGAGGTAGTTCATCTGGTAAGTCCTCAGGTATAACATCACAGAATTCCGTGAGTAGCTGCCGTATGGGTTCGGCAAATGGAGTGGGGGTACATTTAGAGACCGGTTTAAGCAAGAGAGCAAAGACCACACCCGTGTCTTGTAGTTCATGTGTAAAATCTACAGGTGATAAGATACTTAAACGATGCTCCGAAGCCTTCCCGTTTAAGGGCAGTGTCGGTTGAACCTCCTTAATTGGTTTGATGGCTGGGTTGGAAGGCTTGAGTGTTATGTTTTTCCCTTCATGTTGGAAAGTATAGGTGTTCTCTCGGCCGCAACTTTTGACGTTACGGTCATAAAGCCAAGGCCGGCCTAGTAGCACATGTGCAACACTCATAGGTAGGATATCACAATAAAGTTTCTCGTGACAGGGACCCAATTGAAGAGGAACAAGACATCTTTCAGTAACAGGTAACCTAGTTTTATCTACCCAGCCGACTTGAAAAGGATGGGGATGTGGTTCGGCCTGAAAGATGAAGACGATCGACGGCAGCTTTAGAAATAACATTCAGCGTACTTCCCCCATCAATAACTAGCTGGCATCGAGTGGTACCGCAAGGGACATAAGTCTGGAAGATACTTGTGCGTTTCCATGAATCAGGAGGTGGAGGTGTAGATGCTGAATAAATACAACGCATAACACTCAGTTGTTGCAATGCTTCTTCCTCACAACAATTATCAAGGTCGGGATCATAAATAGGTTCAAGGGGCTCCACATACTCGTCCACACGAGGGTCCTCAGTGTTGGAGCTAATATTTAAAGTTCTGTGGGGGCAACGGGAGGCGATGTGGCCCTTAGCATGGCAACGATAGCATTCGAGGTGAGTAGCCGTGGATAGGGCTGGTCCCTTCTCTGTGGCAGGTACCGTGGGAGCAGGTGGACCAGTGATGCCATATTTGGAGCTTGGATTACTGCGGTTTGGAGCAGAAGTGGAAGGATACCCGGGAGTCCCGGTGTACCTACGTTGTGGCCGCAAAAAGGTTTCAGCTTCCAATGCATGGCAATATGCATCTTCCAAAGTATACGGACGGAACCGACGGACTTCACGCTTGATATCGTCCCGAAGACCATGAATAAAACGAGACATGGTGATGTCGGGTTCTTCACGAAGCCCCGCACGTATTTTGTGTTCAATAAAACGAGCGTGGAATTCTGTAACGGTAAAACTTCCTTGTGAAAGGGTCCATAACTGATCATACAATTGATGGCGATAAAATGTAGGAAGATATTGTTCGCGAAGCTTGAATTTCATCTCGTCCCAAAGAGTCACAGGCTGTTGTCCCAGTTGGTATAGTTGCTCCTCCACGGAATTCCAATATTGTCTAGCGGCTCCCTGTAATGTCATCTTACCAATGCGTAGTTTATAAGCATCCGTCAAATCATACCAAGCAAAATAATCTTCCAGGGCTTGGATCCAATCAAGAAACATCGTAGGATCCCCACGACCATCAAAAGTAGGAGCGATAGGTTTGATGTGGCGGATGATCTCGTTGTCAAACTGGCGAGGGGGAGGAGGGTACTGATCATGTGGAGCGGGTGGGAGGTTTAGAGCCTGAGGAGTCACTGGAGGAGGACCTATTGTGTGTTGAGTATAATGGAGTGGCGGCATAGACCCAGTGGAGCTAAGCGGCATTCCGTAGGACACTGCCTTTAATTTAGGATCCACCGGTGGAGTGGGCAAAAGGCCACTTGGTGGTGGCGTAGACGAGCTTGGGATCACTGTGGAGGAAGACGAAGTTGCAGCGTGTTCAACCCGAAAGTGGTTGATAAGTAACTGAACGGAGTTTTGAAGTTTAGTGATGGCAAGGTCCGTCGTTGAACGATGGGCGTGAGCCTGTACCAACTCTTCTTTGAGGTCAGTGCTGAGTTTAGAGAGTTGGGTTTCTATGCCCGCGATATCGTCCGTGACTTTGTTTTGGAACGTATGACATTGCTCTGCAAGGTTGGCCACGGTTTGGGGTGCCATGGCAGGGATCAAACGCCAACGAAAGGGATTGTAGGCTCTGATTACCAAATTGATGTAGAACTGCGGTAGTATTAGGGTGAACAAGGGTGTGACGGGACCGAGAAGAAGTAAAAGATCGAGGAGACGAATTAGGGGTCGAGGAGACGAAGGGAAAGGGGAAGAAATCAGGGAGTTCTAGTAAGGAGAGTTTTTCATTCATCAAAAATTAAATTAAAAGATTACAATCTGCTCTATTTATAGAGACAAACTTTGAAAAATTAGGAAAGCAATTTAACTAATAAGAAATCCTTTAACAACGGGGAATTCTTAACTAAAATAGGAAAACTAATAAAAGGAAAGCTAATCCAAGTAGAATTAGGAGATGCATTCTGCATCACTCAGCTAAGGGATCTTTCGGATCAATTCACTTCCGAAACATACAATTGTCCAGCATTGCATACGGTGCTAATTTTTTTTTTTCAAAATTCTGAAAGTGGTATTTTGCAGGCATACCCTTTTGATATTGACTGGATTGCTGCCTATTCTGATCCAGCTCAACCTTTGGTAGTTGATATTGGAAGTGGTATAGTATTTGAGCTTCTTCTCTGCTCCTATGGGGTTTTCCCCCCTCCACTTTTAGGTTGCAGTTTGTTACATTGTTAGTTGTTCTTGGTCTCTGTGTTAGAAAGCTAAATCAGAGAAACATGATGATTAAGTTCTCACAAGAAGCTAAATTTGATACAAATGATAAACTTATGATTGGGATAAACAAATATTCATTTAAATGTTTCTATAATATTGGGAAAAAAAACTTTATGATTTGATTATGAGATAGTTATAGAAGTTACTGGTTATTTTCTAACTCCAAATAATAAATGACAGGTAATGGAATGTTCCTTTTCGGGATGGCCAAAATAAGGAAGGATTTGAACTTTCTTGGTTTGGAGATGAATAAAAAGGTTTCCAGTATTTTAATTTTTTATATTCTTTTTGCTTATTCTTATCATCTACTAGTGACAGTTTTACAACTTCTTTCAGCTGGTACAACCTTGCCTGGATTCTGTTCACCAGTCTGGTATACGAAACGGGTAAGGGTTCTATCCTTGTGCTGCAAAACAACTACGTCCTTGTGAATTTGCTGGTCTAACTGACTTCTACATGAAATTAAACTAGGTCCAGCAATTCTTTGTATTGTGCATGTCTAGTTAGCTTGTGCCAGATAAAATTGGTTGTTCAGTTTTGTAAGTTAAATTTAGTGGACGCATCCTGTGTGAGTGTGTGTTTGCACCTATCTGTTTGAATTGGGGTTGATGTAGGAAACTATGCTGTTTTCATTGATAGAATAGGATGTTTCTAACATTAAAGCTCAAGCTTCATCATCTTATCTATGTTTGTTCTGCTTTTGTCTACATTAGGTATTTCATTGCAACAAATGCAACATCAACATTCCGTTCAATTATCTCTAGTTACCCTGGAAAGCTAGTTCTTGTGTCAATACAGGTTAGGATTGCAACTCTTATGTCTCTTATCTTTTATGGTCAAAACTCTATCTCTTATCAGAATGTAATGTCATTCTACCAACAACGGTTCTGCCTCTTTAATCAAGTGTCTAGATAGGGTTCGTACCTAGACGTTGTTTACTTTATGAATTAGGAAAATGTAATATCATTCTGCCGATATTGGTTTTTTCCCATGCCAACACTAAAAAGACATGGTAAACTGAGTTTTTTTTTTTCTTTTCATTTCTTGTTTTCTTTAATGGAATTGTATATGTGATTCATATATTTACTTTATCTTTTGTAAAAATTCGTTTGATAACTTGAATAGTTCCTTGTAGAGAACAACCTGATGCCGCATTTCCACATTATAAGTTAAGAAAGATATAGTTCTCTTTTAAATTTGTATCTATCACTTCACTTGCAAATGACATTGAAAGTAGGGAGTATATGTGATGTGATGTTTCCACTGATTACTTAGATTTATATATGTATCTATAATTTAACTGGGATTTTCCCCATGTAGTGTCCGAATCCTGATTTCAGTGAACCAGAACATAGATGGAGTATGCTGCAAAGGTCATTAGTTGAAGCAATTTCTGATCTCCTTACAGCTAATGGAAAGGTACTATTTTTCAACTCCACTTCAGTACAGAGTTGCATATGAACTTTGCTTACCTTCTTTGCCAACCTTCATTCTCCCTTCTAACCACTGCAAATAACGGCGTATACTCCAAGATGCACTGTTAAACATACAAAATCTTGAAAATTTTATGTAGGTGAGCTGCATGACAGGGCTCTGACAGGTCAACTTGCTAACTTTTCTTGTATTTGGTAGGTCTTTCTGCAATCTGACATAGAGACCGTCTCTGTGAGAATGAAAGAACAGTTTCACAAATATGGTAAGGGAAAGCTTACTGTTCTGCATGAACAAAGTTATGTCGTAACTAATGGAGGGTGGCTTAAGGAGAACCCCTTTGGAGTTCGGTCAGATTGGGAACGACATGTCCTAGATCGTGGGGCTCCTATGTACAGATTGATGCTTCGTAAATCAAACTCTGGTGAAAGAAGTGATTGCAGTTAACGATGTAGGAAACTGGCAAGCCTTGTACCAGTGGAGCTAAATGGGGTATAGTCTAACTGTGCAGTGGTCTAGACTCATTTCCCGATCACATCTATTTCTCCCAGCAATGGTAAGGGCTGGCGNGCTCTTC